TCCTTAGTTTCTTTCAAGCTGTTATGCCAGTTTTCAATAGAGTTTTTAGTTTCCTGGTAATCTCTTTGAACCTGCTTCACGTATTCTGTGCTATCTCTATTTTTTCCATCAAACAATTCTCTCCTCTTTTTCTGTTGTTCCATTCCACCATCTGTTTTTTCTTTGGTGATACTTAGCATTTCTCTAACTATTTTGCTTATGTCTAGCTTCAGGTCATTAATAACTTCATTCCTGAACTTGTCTATGAGGCTCTGGAGATAGCACTTTATATGTATTGGTGCTGTGTCTGCTATTGCCTCTTTCTCAAGATTAGGGGCCGAGGACCCTTTCTTGTTGCTGCCTCTTCCCATATTCTTTGTTCCTTATATATGCAAGCATATATAGGAGGCCCAGCTTCCTTCCCTATTGGCCACAGTCTGATTGAATTGCAAAGGCTAGGTGTTCCCGCCCACCGCAGCGCACCAGGAAGTTGCAGACCAGGCAGCCTATGCGGGGCCGCCCCTCCAGGTCAGTCTACCTTCAGGCGCTGGGACCTAGGTTGTGCTAGCCTACTGGGTCTCAGCCAGCAGCGTCACGTAGGCTAGGCACTGCTCACCAATCCTGCTTGAGAGGGAGATATGTGACTGAAGTCACTGCAGCGCCCTGTTCCCACAAGTCTGCTCGGTCCCAGAATGTCCTCTGTTGGAGTCTCCTAGACTGTGGAAGAGTCCCAGTTTCTCTCACTCACCTCAGGTCAATGCACAGTTTCCCGCCCGTCCTGCTTTCAACTCCGTTCACTGCTTCCCGTTCTCAGAGCTTTCGCGCGTCTCTCTCCCTGCCTAGCCGATGTAGACACAGCGGCAGCGGCGGTAAACCCAAATCACGGCTTCCAATGGTGCGGGCTTCCACACTGAGGCTTTTCTGTTCCTGTTATTGTAGCACCAGGATTGCATTCCCAGTTGGTTTCTCTCAGCCCAGTTCGTTCTTGGGTCAGCAGGGCATATCTCCTCTTGCTTATGATTCCTTACTCTGCACCATTCCTGAATTCTAAGCTGGGTCTTTCAGAGAGCCTCTGTAGCTGCTGCTATCTGTCCGCCATGTTCTCCCGGAAGTGTGTGCATTCCTTTTTAGTCTAAACCTTTTTCCATTCCTTTTTAGTCTATATCTTTTTGGATTAGATGAGTTTCTTGAATGCAGCAGACTGTTGGATTTGTTTGTTTTTTTTTTTAATTTTGTCTGCCAATCTTTGTCTTTTAATGGGAGGGTTGAGGCCATTAACATTGAGAGAGAGTACTGAAATGTGCTGATAATTTACTATTGTTGCATTGTTTCTCTATTAGTAACTCATTTTTCTTTTACTGTCATTTTTTGTTGCTTACCTGGTGTTTTGTGTCATGTGGGTTTTTAGTTGTTTTGGTTTCATTGTTTCTGTCTAGAATATTCAAGAGAATGTCCTGGAGTGCTAGTTTCTGATTCATACATCTTTTGAGCTGGTCTGTTTCATGAAGTGCCCTCATTTCTCCATCTATTTTGAAAGATAGCTTTGCTGGATAAGTTAATTTGGGTTAGAAGTTACTTGCTTTTAAGATTGAAATACTTCACTCCAGATTCTTCTGGCCATTAAGGTTTGTTATGAGAAGCCTGCTGTAATCATAATTGTTTTACCTTTATATGTGACTATTTTTCTCTGACCGTTTTTATTTTTTTATCTTTTTTTTTTTTTTTTTGTGGATACTGGGACTCAAACTAAGGACCTTGTGCTTGCCAGGCATGCACTGTACCTGCTGAGCTATATCCCAGGTCCTCTGACTGCTTTTAAAATTATTGGATCTTTTTTGCTGGCTATCTGGCAGTTTAATAAGAATATGCCTTTGTGGGCTTTTTTTTTTTTTTTTTGGTCATAGTTGTTTGTTCTATAAGGCTCACTGAATTTTAAATTCTTTTCACATATTTGGGAAATTTTCTCTGTGGTTTCTTTAACATTAGTAATCTGTTGTCTTCTAGCTTTTGTCTAACTCCAGGTAGCCTTAGGTTGGTCTTCATGTCATATCATAGCTGCTAAATGGTCTTTTCTTGTTCTCAATCAGTCTCAGTCTCTCTCTCTCTCTCTCTCTCTCTCTCTCTCTCTCTCTCTCTCTCTCTCTTCTCTCCTTCTCTTTCTTTTCAGTAATTTCTTTGAGTACTGCTTCATACTGTACCATTTTTGTCCTCAATTTCAGACATTCTTGTCTTCACATTGGTCATTTCTACAATTTTTTTAAATTTTATTTTATTTTATTTTTTAATTTTTTATCGGTACCAGGGATCGAACTCATGACTGCCTGTTTGCAAGGCAGGCACTTATGCCACTGAGCTTTACCCAACCCCTACAATTTTTTAATCTATACAGTTTTATTTCAGGTATTTTTCCCTGACATTTTTTTGAGGATTCTATATCCTTGTTGAGTTTGTCATTTGTATTTTAAACTGTTTTGGTCAGCTTGTCCAGTTTTTTACTTATTTCCCCTGAATTCACTTTGGGCATATTAGTGATAATTCTTTCTTTGAATTTGTCTACTTTCTTCATCCCTAGTATAAAATTTTTGTGGAGTTAACACTACCTGGCATTTGCTTTCTTCTTCTTTGTTCCCTCTTGCTCTCCTGTTGGAGAGTTGAGTGACTTTGTGGGTCTTCTGTTTCCTTCTTTCCCTATGATCTTCTGTATATGTATATCCATTTTTTATTGTTTATGGTCCCCAGGAGCTCTAGATGTTGACATAGAGAGAAAACCAGTTGTTACCCACTACCATGTTACCTTTGCTACAGTGGTAAATTCAGTGACATCAATGGCATCAAATGACAACTGGATATTGCCAAACTTTTAAGAACAGCTCATGGAACCCTTAACCAGAATTAATAAGGATATACTTTTAGTGCAAACATAGTACCCACATATAAGCTTGTAATATTTCAGATCACTAGTTTCTGCTTGATGTAAGAAATAGTGCCAGAAGCCATCATCAGTACTTCCTCCTCTGGCAGTTTCACCCTCCAAGCCTGGCATCCCTTAATGGAATACTGACCTCAAAAAAAGAAAAGAGGTGAAAAATTATTGTCTAAAGAATCAGAAATATTTTTAAAAACGAATAAAAAATAGAAAATGGATAAAATAGACACCAGAGTTGAAGTAAGGCATCTTAATATATATATATATAATACACATTTTTTTCCCTGACTGATTTTACCAATACCAGATATATTACAAAATAACAAGCCATTTGTGGTATAATCCCAGCCTAAATAATGTTCTACTAATGAAAAATAGCCAAAATTCAGTCCAGCTGTGTAAACATGTCAAAATAGGTTGAAAATGAGACTGTCATAAGTAGAACCGAATTATCTGCATCACAATGTAAAAGGAAATTGTCTTGTATAAGAATGGCCAGAAATAGAACAGAGCTTTGTCATATCTTTGAAAGACTGATGTATTTTTTTGTGTGTGATTTTAATGTTGGGTTCAGATTTTAAATATTTGTCTTAATGAAGTAGGCATGATGGCACACACCTGTAACCCAGCACTCGAGGCTGAGGGGATCACTATGAGTCCAAGGCCAGTTTGGGCTACATAGTGAGTTCAAGATCTGCATAAACTACATAGTGAGACACTGTCTCAAAAGCAAAACAAACAAAAACCCGAAGTAGCAATGCATGCCTGAATTGCAACACTCAAGAAACTGAGGTAGGAGGATCACCATACTGAGCTACATGGTGGGATCCTGTCCCTCTCCCTCAAAAAACAAGCAAACAAAAATCATTAATTTAAAAAATATATATGTTTACATCAATGATTGGCAGGTTAAGATCTTTAATATATAAAATTACTAAATTATAAAATTTAAAAAGATAAATTACCTGTTTTGCATAATGAAATGTTTAACAACAATGAGACAAAATTTGATACTAAATATTTTTAAATTTTATACTGACAAGATGAGTTAAAATTGATATTTACATCATGATAGTTATATTAAAATTGGTATACCTTTGAAAGAGGTATAGTAGTTCACATTAAGAGCTGTGATACAAATCACCCTAAGCTTTAACCCAGCATTTTCATTATCTAAGGGGCAATTAAGAAGGAAATCTGTTGGTGTAAAACTGCTGAATCCTAAAGTGATTCACCTTCTACCTTTTGGATCAGCCACATCTAAGTGGTTGAATTCTTGTTGGGCACGGGGGCATTGGGGCCTAAGTGGTTAATTTAAATCCTTCATTCTCCACTGGTTCTCCAAAGTTAAGAATTCCTTATCAGACTGTCTGTTCAGAGAAGACTTTTAGGGGAGGGGGTTACCTAATTAATATAGAAAAGCTACATGTCTTCAGTATACAACTCAGATTTTTATAAAATGTACATACTCATTTATCATCCAAAATTAGTGTTCCAAGCACTCTAGAAATCCTTATGCCCCTTTTCAGTCATTACTCCCTTTCAATCCCCAAAATACTGTTGATTTCTAATATCAGTTTCATTTTATGAGTCATAGCAATCACTTCAATAACCAAATACTAATTCTCTTTGTGACCATGCTATGCCTTCATTAATTTTGATCACTTGAATTATCTCTAGTTTTTCTTTATATGTAGGACATTGTACTATTATTATTGCTATAATATTGTAGGTTTAATATAGCAAAGACCTAGAATCCTGAAGCTTATGAGTGGTGCCCTTCTTTATGTAAGATCACTATGAACTTGAATAATTGTCATCTATTAAGAAACAGAAGAAATCTTTTAGTACAATCCTATCCATTTTATTTTCCCATAAAAGTAAAAAGAGGAGTGTTTGTTCACAGTGTAGGAGGGTGAGAGGAGCTCTGTTGCTCATCTATCCCACCAAGAGTAGAAAAAGAATTGATGGTGGTTATCTGCCAGTCCTCAGGGTTCAGACTTTCAAGGTTATTATTGAAATTTAATTTGTTTTTTTACTACCTGGTGTTACCATATCCCTAAAAAGTTACTACATTCTCTCTCTATTTCAATAGTCAATGACAGTAGTCCTGTGAGTGAAGATCTTCAGAAGGAAGATTATAGAGAAAAGTCTTCAGATAGTGATGGAATGGACTGTCTCTTGGTTTCTGAGCAGCCTCCAGGTTGCCAAGAAGAAAGCCTAAATACCTCTGTTCCACAGCAAAGAAAACTGAGAAATCTTTTAGTTACCATTAAAAATGATACTCCACTAGAGGAGCTCTCAAAATACGTGGACATCAATGTTATTGCACTTAATCGAAATCAGAGAACAAGAAGGTGGTACACTTGTCCACTGTGTGGGAAACAATTCAGTGAAAGTTCTTACCTTATTTCCCACCAGAGGACTCATACTGGAGAGAAACCTTATGACTGTAGCCACTGTGGGAAAAGCTTCAATCATAAAACAAACCTCAATAAACATGAGCGAATTCATACAGGAGAGAAGCCTTACTCCTGTTCTCGGTGTGGGAAAAACTTTCGTCAGAATTCTCATCGAAGTCGTCATGAAGGAATCCATATAAGGGAGAAGATATTTAAGTGTCCAGAATGTGGGAAAACCTTCCCAAAGAATGAAGAGTTTGTGCTTCATCTACAGAGTCATGAAGCCAAAAGACCTTATAGTTGCAGAAACTGTGGGAGAAGATTTGGTCGACTGTCCAACTGCACCCGGCATGAAAGAACTCACTCAGCATCTGAGACCCAAAAGCATAAGTGAGACCAAGACAGATCCTGCTGCAACCCAAAAAGTTGTGTAAGGAATTCTGAATTCCCAGGCTGCCTAAAAAGATACAGATATATGAAAACCTCATGAAAATCAAAGTTGGGATGAATAACCAGGTTGGCTGAAATCTCAAGGAACCATCCTCAAGGGATATACCTCAGTTAGCATACAGGCTTTTTGAACTACAGAATTTTTTTGGTGAAATTGTGTAACAGTATATAGATCACAAATCCATTTTCCAGAAACACTTTGAATGTGAATTAGGCTTGGGGCTGCTACCTACATTTCTATTGAAATAGATAACCACATACACACACATACTCACACACGCACACATGCACACACCAGAATTTACCTTCAGAAAGGAGAAATAATACCACAGTCCTTATCTAGAACTGTGGTTTCTCTGAAAGAACCAAACTACTAATTTGTTAGGCCAACAGTTTCTAATAACAGTTCATGTAACCCTCTGAACACCCTGTGATAAAGTTTTGAGTGTTGAATTGTTTACTTTGGAATGTAGGAAAAATGCAGCTTTTGAATGTCATACTCTCATTTGTATGTAATCTAAAAGTAACTATCAATTTGAATAACATTTGCAATTTGTGAAAATCAGCTGTTTTATAGCAATCCTTTTCACACCATAAATATGTCTACTGTTCTTTCTGAATTTTATTCAGGTGTTAATCTCTCAAACAGCTGTCTTTGCCAAGAGTTTTGGATCATTTAGGTCTGGCTGTCGAGTCCCACTACTGGATAGCTCTTGAGAATCTTGTCTCTCTGCTAAGCCAAGACCATGGCTGCTAGAGAATAGGAGGAATGAACCTGAATGCAGAAAAGAGTTGGTTTGATGCATGACTAATGAACAATCTTATCTATGTCTGACTCCCTTTTATGGACTCATCAAACCTTTGAAAATGGAGTGTTTACTACCTCACAAAGCAGTTTTAAGGAATTATGTCTCTGGTGATTAGCTCACATTACCCCACAAGAGATAGGATTCCAGGTGTCTTCACTGTAGTGAGTGGTTGGCCTGATAACCAGACCCCCTCCTGTGCTCTTTGCCTAGTAACAGAGCGGGTGGTGCCTTCACAGGTGCCCCTCCTGTGATATAGTTAGGAATTCTCTGTCAGTTTGCTTGATATTGTTTCCTGAAGTCTTACGTTTGTATTTTGGTTTGAAGACATTCATCCTATAAACTATTTGAGAAAGTTTAAATCTTTATAGATTTTGTTTTCCATCCAAAAACATGCCTTTCTATATTATGACAATATTGTATATCTGAGTAAATTTTTCTATTTTTTCATTAAATTTTGTGCAATTTTGTTATTATGAGTAGCTTTCCCATTATATTTTTCTATTTGCTTATTGTTCTTACAAAGAAAAGTTTTTAAAAATATATTTGTGTAACTATCTCACTGGATGGTCTTAATTTTCATTAAATTGTCAGTTCTGTTTGGTAAAAGTACAATATCTAAGCGGGGTATGGTGGTGCACACCTGTAATCCCAGTACTTAGAAGGTAAGTCACAAGCATCATTACAAATTTGAGCATGGGCTACATTGTGAGTCTTGAGGCCAGCCTGAACCACATAGTGATACCCTGTTCAAAAAACAAAAAGTATACATCTACAAATAATAGTTTTGTTTCTTCCTTTCTGCCTAGTGGGTTTTATTTTTAAACAAATTCTGTGTGTTGTGGCACAAAATACAGTATTCTGAAATAAGGACATTTTTATGATTCAGTTCAACTCTATCTAAAAAAACAAAAACCATGACACGAGAGGAACAGCTGAAGAATACTAACAATAATAACTGTATTTCCTGGGAGCAGTGCCCTTTAAGACTAGAACAAAACTGGCAGCCCATGGCATTCTCATTCTTTGGAAGTGTGGCCCACAAACAGGCAGGAACTCCAGGACCTTACTGGTATGACATGCCATTATCACCTGTGTAGGGTCCACCTGCATGTGAGCTTTTGGTAAAGCAACTCCAGGCAGAGTGGGGGTGGGGGAATCCCTGGGAAGGAAGCAGTGTCTTTTGCTATCAATGGGATATCCAAAGCAAGTATTTCACATCTGGATAGTTGATGCTACCACAACCTAACTTTTCATGCCAGGGAGGAGCCTGCTGCTAGGTGGTAGCTATTTGGTACCTGCCGTGCCCAATGGCAGTTAGGGAACCCTTCTCCCTGGGCCCCAGAGACCAGTGTGTTGATCAAGGGTTACTCCCAAATATCAAAGACCCTGGAAAACTGGGAAGAGTAAGTGCTCAGGAGTATCTTATCAATTAAATAGAAAAAAGAAATTTTCCAATATAGCAGCAAGAGCTAGCTTTAGAAGATGTGCAAAAACAAAGATCCAGAGCCAGGCTCTTTTCATCTTGAACAAAGAATTGAAAGTAGCAAAAAGCAGTGGGAAATGCTGTTTGAAAAAGTAGAAGTGAAAAGTGAGGGGGATACATACTGGCTCTGCAGAGCAAGCTTTGGCTGAGTAAAAGAGGGAAACGTAAGATAAAACAACAGTCTGGAGAAAACAGACTATCATGAGGAAAGCCATGATAGATACCTATTCTTGATGCCTGTGTCCCTTTTATACTGTTCAAATCTCAAAACGTGAGAAATTTTACATATGGGTCCTTCGAGGCAGTGCTAAGATCCCTCTGACTTCAGGTCTAGGTGATCCTATTGAAAACTTGCTCAAATTCTCATTAGAAGTCCACAGACGGCTTTGGAAATTGTTCGGTGCGTATTTTCCAGGATTTTGTAATTGAACAGGTTATACTTGCTTCCCCAGCCAGCTTTGCTACTCTCTAATCTTGTGTCTCAGAATTAACTGAAGGATTTTAAAAAGTCATGTGACTGGCCTTCCCATGAGCCAGGGTCTGCCATTGGGAACTGGAAGAGACTCAGCAAGAAGACAAACCACACCTTCCCATGAGCCAGCCCGTGTGCGGCTGGGAAACCAGAAGGGCACCCCCCCACACACACTCCTGGCCACCCTGTAAGCAACTGACTTGATTCAGAGGAACTCGGGGTGAGATGATAGCAACGGAGGAATAGCTTGAGGCCTGGGTCTGGTGGTCTGGGAATCTATTTGGAGGATGGCAGTGTGCATTGTGGCAACTGGGAGGGATTTCCTTCTGTCTTGTTTTTGACAGCCAGTGTTTTGTTCTGTTTTACTGTTTTATTTTATTCCTGTATCTGGTAACCTGATCAGCTATTTTGAAGAGAAAATGCAGTGTAACAACCATTGTTAAATTCCTATCGTTTTGTTTTGAAAACCTACATAGCTGCTGGTTTTTTGTTGTTGCTTTCATTTTGCTTTTGTTGTTATTTAGGTTTGTTTGCTTCTTGATTTTTCTGTTTTTTTCTTTTTTTCTCTTTAAAATAAAATTTTAAAATACCATGAGACCAAGAAGGCTGGGGATTTAGCCCAAAGGAGTAATTGCCTGCCTGGCAAGTAGGAGGTAATGCGTTTGATCCCCAGGACCAAAAGAAAAAAAAAAAAAATCATTGGACCCAACACACACACACACACATACAACCAATTAAATCAGAATCTGATGGGATTCAGATCTCAGCATTTTTTAAGGTTAAAAAGGCCATTATGGTAGGTACAGAGACACTGCAATAGGGCTATATCCAAGGAGCAGAATAGAGTTCAGTAGATGGAAAAGTTAGCATGAAGAAATATCAAGGGTAAAAGCATTATGACTAACCCAACCTAGCAGCATTTTTTTTTCTTGTACTGGGGATGAAACTCATGATCTCATGCTTGCCAGGCAGGCGCTTATACCACTGAGCTAAATCCCCAGCCCCCCAGCAGCATTCTTGCTGAAGATAGCCCAGGGTGGTCACACATCACCTGAAGAGGTAATAGAGGATGAGAGGCCTGATGGGATACTGATAGGGGTTTTTGAAAAACTAAATTAACAGGTTTCTTTGCAAAAGCAGTTTTGCAAGAAAGGACACAGATGAATCCTAGAGGAAGTTTCAAAAGCTTGACCAAACCTGGTATGGTGATACATTCCTAGCACTCATGAAATTGGAGCAGGAAGATCCCTGCTACTTGAAGGCCAGCCTGGGCTACATACTTAGTTCAAGGCCAGCCTGAAATACATAGTGAGACCTTGTCTTAAAAACAAAAGCCACATTTTGTTATCATGAAGTGGAAGTACAATTGTTTTCAATAAACGTGTATTTAAAAAAATTTTTTAAAGCCTGACCAAAATTTGGCAAAGCAAAGAATCATCAGCTCCCAGGTGAATCCAGTGGTCACCCAAGATACTAGGAAGTATGAAGGGTAAGAGGATTCTGGCTAAACTAACCTTGCAACATTCTTGCTGAAGATAAGCTAGGGCCTAAATTCTAAATGTTGATGTAAACCAGAGCTTAGTCTTTAACCCACTTGTCACTTCTGTGTACACCAGCTCTCTCTTGTTAGAGGTTTTTAATAGTAGGACACAATAGAACCATGTAAAATTTCCAGTGTTTATGGCCTACCTCCAGAGAACATGATTCCATTTGCCTGGAATGGGTGAAGAACTGCTCTAAGTGATCTCACCCAGTTTCATAGTACCAAGTAGTATGTATGTAATTAATAATTTTTACTTTGCCCAACATAAACAGAATATACATCCTCAAAATACATTGAACATTCACTAAGACAGATTCTATTATGGGCCTGTGGGGAACTAACTAGTCAGATTACTTCAAAGCTCAGGCATCTAAGGACACGTGAGGAAGTGAGCCCTTGTCTTAGTGTAGCTGCATAGTAGGATACAGTTATGTAATCATGACATAGCACAGGTAAATACACATGGGCTGATATGGCACTATGTGAGAATGTAAATACAAGATAGCAACCTGAATAAGAATTATGCATAAAGACACAGGCAGCTCTTGCTCATGTTCTTGTGCTCTGTTCTGTTGCATGCGGCCTGCTGTTGTTGATTTGTGCATGTGCATTCTTTAACCTTGGGATCCCACTCTTGGAAATCTCCCTTGAGCCCACTGAGTGGGTCAACAGGGCCACAAAATAGAAGTTATGTTAAGCATGCTCTCAGATCGCAATGCAATTAAAGTTAAAATTAGTAAGAGAAAGATAGCTGGAAAATCTCAAAGTGTTTAAAGATTAACTTGTCTTCCACATAATAAGTGTATCAAAGTAAAGGTATTGAGAAAATATTAAGAGTCTAACAAATGGAAAATTAAAATATAACTTATTTAAATGTTTGAGGTGCGATAAATGCAGCTATAAACGAATGCCTTTAGTTGCATTTATGAGAAAAATGTAAATAATATGTGTTGGTCAGCTTTCCATTTCTATGACAAAATACTGTACCTGAGAACTTAAAAGAGAAAGTGTGTTTTGGCTCACAGTTTCAAAGGTTTAGTACATGGTCAACCCTGTTGTTTTGGTCCTATAGTAGCACCATATATCATGGTGAAAGTGTATTTCAGAGGAGGCAAAGAGAGATAGAAAGTAACTGGGGACCTAGTATCCTCTTCAAGGGATCTAACTTACGACCACTAGGCTTCTACTTCTAAAGGTTCCACCACTTCCCAGGCTGGTGACCACCTTTCACACCCTTGAGATACACTCCAGATACAAACTGTAGCACTGTTTCCACTTTAGAAAATTAGAAAAAGAATAAATGAAATCCAAACTAAGCAGAAATAAGAAATAATAAAATAGAACAGAAATATCAGAGGGCTGGGGTTAACTCAATGGCATAAGTGCCTGCTTTGCAAGTGCACGGTCATGAGTTCAATCCCTGGTACCAAAAAAAAAGAAAGAAAGAAAGAAAAAAATAAATCAAAAACAAGAAATAGAGAAAATCAATGAAAACAAAAGTAGGCTTTTTAAAATTCGTTAATGTTGAGCCAGTGTAGGCAACAAAAAGGTACAAATTACTGCCAAATTACTTATAAATGATGCCCAAGCAACACCTGCTTTCATGGGCCTTTTTTTTTTTTTCTATAGGAATCAAATTCAGGACCTTGCACTTGCCAAACAGGCACTTGTGCTACTGAGCTATATCCCTAGCCCAATGGATCTCTTTATAAGGCAAAATGTATAAAGCTTGCCATAAAGGACAAACAAGTAAAATATACATTACAGTGGTTGGAATAAAAATTGGGGTGAATGGGTTCCAGGAAGCAGAGTATGTAGCTATGTGGACACCAATCTGCAGAAACATTGAAAACTTCCAAGAGCCAATCAGAAGTAACATGCAGAGGGAAAGACAAAAGGAGCTGCTCTAAGAAAAAAGACATGGGGCTGGAGGTTTAGCTCAGCGGCATAAGCGCCTGCCTTGCAAGCAGGCAGTCGTGAGTTCGATCCCCGGTACTGATAAAAAGGAAAAAGGAAAAAGAAAAAAAGAAAAAAAACATCTGGTCTGCAACAGAAAAACAA